CCCAGGAGTTGAAGGTTGCTGTGAGCAGTGAAGCCATAGCACTCTACCCAGGGGGACAGCTTGAGGCTCTGTCTCAAAAAAATAAAAATAAAAAAATAAAATAAATTGAGGTGACCTAACTTAGTTTACATGATATACTATTTGTGATCAACTTCAGGGTAACTTGTTGATAGGCTGCATTCCAACTAACTTTTTATATTTTATGTTAGTTAGAGATGCCTACAGAGAAATGCTAACAGCAGACAATCTTGATATTGACAACATGAGACACAAAATTCGAGATTATTCCTTATCAGGGGCCTACCGAAAGATCATTATTCGTCCTCAGAATGTTAGCTGGTGAGTAATAGTCTGAAATGAAGTAGAACTGAATTACCATATAAAGTTTTAAGCTTTGCTTCACATATATTAGTCATGTATCACATAACTGAAGTTTTGCTCAAAAGTGGACCACATGTCTGACAGTAGTCTCATAAAATTATTGTATTTTTGCTGTACCTTTTCTACATTTAGACATACAAATGCTTACCATTTTGTTACAACTGCCTGCACTGTTCTGTACAGTAACACACTGTACAGGCTTGAAACCTAGGAGTAACAGGCTGTACCATGTAGCCTAGGTGTGTGGTAAACTATAAACTGTAAACATCTAGGTTGTGTCGGTACATTCTATGTTTGCACAGTGACAAAATTGCCCAATAATACATTTCTCAGACTGTGTACCCCATTGTTAAGTGATGCATTAACTTTATTTTTTAGTGCTCAGAGTCCAGTATATAAATATTTCATGTTAGTTGCTATTAATTAGTATTATTACTATTATTATCACTATGGTTAGTGATAATGATTTTTCAAATCATCAAGAAATAAATTGTTTTGCATGTAAACATATAGTGAAAGTGACTTCAGGCTCAGCGCCTATAGCTCAACCGGCTAAGGCGCTAGCCATGTACACCTAAGGTGGCGGGTTCGAATCCCCAGCTCAGACCCGCCAAACAACAATGAC